ACATTATGTAGCTGCTTCCTTAAGGACAAGCCCTGCATGAAACAGCAGCAGGAATCTCACCCATGTATATATGTAGCGGTGTGAAGTTTCCTCGTTTGTCCAGATGTGGAAAAGCTCACATCAGAAAAGATGGGTTTGTGACCATTTAGGTGAGAGACAAAGATGAGTAGTGTGTAAGACCTGGACTCTATTCAAGACCTAGATGGGCCTGTGGAGGAGCCAGGATTTGGTGGGCAGAAGACCGTGGGACTCAATTCTATACCCTTTCATGACTCAGTTTTGTTTTTTTTTGTTTTTTTAATTTTTGGATGTGAGTTAAAGAAAAAAAACTGTTGAAGATAGAATCTTTCAGTGGAGCTAGAAAAAAAATCTTCCTCTTGAGAAAATTGTGGTTCTCTAAGACACCACATAAGGGAGGAAGCCTGTCAACGGTGATCCAAGGGGATAGGTGAGCATGGATTTCTCTGTGCAGATTAGACTGGGAAAGTTGGGGCTATGTCCAACACCAACACTAGGAGCCTTTGGGGTGGGAGGGATCCAGGGCTGCTGACACTCCATGGGCATGGTACTCTCCTGCCAACACCTTCTGATAAGGGCCTAGAGACTTCTAGCAGGTACAGAGCACATTGCTTTTGTCCTAGAACAATCCAAGCCATGCCAGTTCAGGTTCACCAGTGAAGAGAATTCACCAGTCATTCATATCAGCTTTGAGAAGTGGTTCCCGGAGCTTCTGTAACCCCCAGGGCCACTAATCTTGCCTGAGGCCCCTACGGAATTGCCAGCACTTCTCTGTCCAAGGGGTCAAAACACTCAGAGCCAAATGTAACCAGCCAGCTCTTCTTATTGCTGTTGTTATTATCCAAGGGGGAGTAGTAGCTACAGCCACAGCCACACACAGGAGGGGAAGGACCCTGTCCCTGTTCCTTTGCCAGGAGGCTTCTGACTTGCCCATTCCCTGTATTCCATTCCCACAGTCTTCTGCCCACCCAGTCCTGGCTCCTCCACAGGCCCATCTAGGTCTTAAATAGGGTCCAGGTCTTACATACTACTCTCTTTGTCTCTCACCTAAATGGTCACAAACCCATCAGAATCCTCTCACATTAGCTCACTCCTCCATGGAGGTGTCCCCAGGCAGCTCTGACCCTCTCTGGCTCGCCCTCCAGCCCCTCATCCCCTTCATCTGGCTCCTCTACCAACTCCCCTGCCCTGGTGCCTTCCCTCCCGGCTCAGGCTCTGTCTCTGTGCACTTTGGAAGATGCAACCCAGGTCTCTACCACCCTCCCCATGGCAGCCTCACCCTGGCCCTGGATGAGGAGCATCAGGAGCCCATAGGCCACGAGGATGAGCCAGGCAGGAAGACGATGCAGGGACATGGTTGGCTCCCAGGGCTGCTTCTGTATTCCTTTGGCTTCACCTGGAACTGCAGAGCAGCATTCTGCCCAGGGGGAATTTGAACCTGACAGTGAGGAGGCTGGGAAATGGGTGGTGCACTGCAAGGTGTGTGCTGAAGGAGAGTCACTCTGAACTCTCAGAGGTCATGGAGCCAGTGTGCAGCGGGCAGGGCCCTACCCCTCTTCTTCCCTTGGGCACCTCCCAAGGTGCCGCACAGCCTCTGCAGCCCCTCTGAGATGCCAGGACCCCTCTCCTCACACCTGGAGTCACTAACTCCCTGTCCTTGAGTCACAGGCCCATGAGGGTGTTGGGGAGGAGAGGAGGGAGCAGAGAGCTGGATGTAACTGGAGGAACCTGGGGGGCTTCTCTGAGGGGGCAGAATGAAGATTTCCAGAGATGGAGAAATACAGGTGACCTTGCTGGAGTGTGGGGAACTGCTTGCCCAGTGGCAGGGAGGTGTGACTGACCTTCAAAGCTGACTGGGTGCCCTTCAGTTGTCCCTAATCTTCTAAACACCATAATCTGAGAACCTCTGAGGGCCCTCCCTTCTCAGTCTGACCCTTCTTTGTGAAGGCATTTCTGTAGATACCCCATCAACACAAAACCAAGGTCCAGTTTACAGTCACTTATCCACTGGAAAGATATGAAATGAGTGCCTGCCTGTCCAGGGAACTTCCAGGGATTAGATGCCTCTGGGAGATTCTGAATCATCCTGAGCCCTGCATGGGTGAATGGAAGCCAGTGTGGGTTAGGAGAACCTGCTCAACCTGACTTCCCTGATGAAGGGGTGTGGGGCTCAAGTTCAGTCAGCCTAGAGTTTCCCCTGCAAACCATCTTTGGCTAGATTCTCCCCACCCCCCATAGGCTCTTATAGCCCAGTGTTGTGTCCTTCTCAGCCACTTTGGGGAGCAATCAGCCTTATCCAGATGTCTGGAGACAGCATGCTGGGAGCACTGCTTCTCCTCGACCTCCACCCAATCAGCAAGGCTGCTGTGGATTCAGTTCCTCTGCAGTATTCTCTGCTCTAAGCCATTGCCCCAGGCCCTGCCTGGCAGATGCTTACTCTGCCCTGAGTCTCCTGATCTAATTCATATCTGGGCTTGGTCATCCTCCCAGTTAAGTCCTATTTTAAGCACCTTCGTGTCGACTGGACAACATAGTGCTTCTTCCTAATCTGGAGTCTGCTAGGGTGAAGGTCCCCAGGTACTGTGCCATTTATGGCACCATCTTACAGAGGCCTTGGCTTTGACAATGACCAAGATAATAGTAATAATTTGAAATGATGAAGAGTTTCAGGAGCATATCTGTGTATATGTTTGTATATATTATACCTTATACATATATAGAGATGAGAGAGAGAGAGAGCGGAGGTGGGGAGAGAGAAAGAGAGAGAGAGAGGGGAGAGAGAGAGTGGGTGGGGAGAGGAGAGAGAGAGAAAGAATGGAAGACAAGGTTAACATTAAGCCTGCAGGGACCCATCAGACCAAATGTTGAAGAGGATATGGAACAACTGGTACCTTCATAAATGGCTGGTAGGGATGCAAAGTGACAGAGTCTTTTTGGAGAAGAGTTTGGTATTTCCCTTAAAGGTTCCACACACACTTGCCATGTGACTCAGCAATTCTCCTCTCAGGTCTTTCCTCAACAGAAATGACAGCATGGGTCCATATAAATAATTTCTGACAATGTCCCTAAGAGTTTTATTGTCAAATTGATCAAAAATTGCAAGTCACTCAGATGTATAGTAACTGGTCAATGAATAAATTGTGTTGTGTGCCTACAAGGAATGCCACACCCCAGGAAAAGGAATCTGAGATCTGCCTGGATCTCAGAAATAGTATGAGAAGTGACAGAGGCATTCCTAAAAGTGTCCATTTGCATCATATTTGGGGCAAGGCCAACTAGAGGAACCCAAGCAATTAGGTGACTGCCTTAGAGCAGGATTAAGGGCAAGGAAGGACTACAAAGGGGCGTGAGGAAGTTTAGGAAGTGAAAGAAACTGGTAAAACTTGTGGTGGTGGTGTTTGCTTATCTTACATATAACCTCAGAGTAAGAAAATCGTATACTCAAGAGATTAATTTAATTGCATATAAGTTATTCCACACTGGGCTGTGAATGGATGTAGCTCAGTAATATAGTGCTTGCCTAGCAGGCCAAGGAGGTAGATATGGTCCCTAGCACTGTACACACTCACAGACACACACACACACACAGAGACACACACACACACACACATACACACACACAATCGCCACACTAAAGCAATTTAAAAAGCTATTAAAAATCTACAAAATATAATGGAGACCCTTTGGATAATACAGTGTGCTTCTGCAGAACTGAAACATAGAGGCATGCTTGCTGGAACTCAGTAAATGCTATAAGGATGCACCCATCAGTCTTCACCAAAAGGAAAGTCTTTCCTGTGCTGGGTCCCTGCAGGCTTAATGTTAACTTTGTCTGTCCCCTGGTGGCCCAAATGGCAGAATGGAATTGTCATCTTTTGCATGAAATTCATGAAGGTCTTGGTTTGGGTTTAAATATAGTCAATGGAAACAAGAGGGTCATCTCCCCTGGAAAAATTGGTGCCCCAGGAGGGCATGTCAGTCAGAGATTGGGGAGTGGGGGACTCCCAAGGTCTTTGGGATGAGAAATCCAACCTCTTAATGTCTGAGCGAAAAAGATTTGAGAGAACCCAGAGACACATTGAGCATTATTTGCTACCTTTGTACAATGAGAAAAGATGAGAGGGTTTTTATAGGAGGAGTCAGAAGAGTTTAGAGACAGCAATAAGGGGAGAAGGAAAATCAATGATGTGGATGCCATAGTGAGTGGGGGATGGTCAGGAGGCTGCAGGGGGAATTCTGCAAGGCAGAAGGACACCTTACTGGATGGAGAGGTTCTCAGGGAACCAGGGATAAGAACCTCTTCTGCTTCATGTCTGGACCTCCTGAGCCTTCAAGGCCTCTTCCAGGACACACCACACAGATAAATATTTTCTCAGATGTGAGATGTGTTGTGATCATGTCAGTGTGGGGCTCACAGTGTCTGCAGATCCACAGAGAATAAGAGCCAACTTAGGAGACAGGACTTCAGCTGTCCCAGACTCCAGGACCAATGGAAAAGCCCAGTCCTGCTTCTCACAAGTATGGGCCAGTCACCTCTCTGGGATAGAAAGAGATGCGTGGGCAGGTGTTTAAAACAGGCAGAGACATTTTCCAGTAGTTTGCAACCTTAGTTGCTGAAATCTGGAGGCTGTAGGTGCTGGGGTCTAAGAACTTGTGTCCCCCCAGTTCACACATTGAAACCTAATCTTCAATATGATGGTATTGAGATTTGGGGTCTTTAGCAGATTTTATCACATCACAGGCATTATTTGTCCCTTATACCATGTAGTGACACAGCATTAAGGTGCCATCCATGAGCCAAAAAGCAAGTTCTAATAAACTCCAAATATGTAGGCATCTTTCTTTCTTTTTTTATTTTGATTTTTATTTTCAGTATTGAAACCAGGAGAACTTTACTACTGAGCTACATCCCAAGTCCTATTCATTTTTAATTTTGAGGCAGGGTTTCACTAAGTTGCTCAGGCTGGCTTCATAGTTGTAATCCTCCTTCCTCGGTCTCCTGAGTTGCTGAGATTACAGGTGTGTGCCACCATACCAGGCTGGCATCTTGACCTTGGACATAACCTTGCAAACTCTGAATAATTTTCTGTTGTTCATAAGCTAACCACTTTGTGATGGTATTTTTTTTACAGCAGTCTGAATGTACTGTGATACTACGGCTTTAGGTAATCATGGTTTCTAGTCTAGTCTGTCTAGTGGTCAATGACAGATATGAGAATACATGGGACTTGGCTGAGAAGTAGATGTGGGATTTTAACACTCAGGTGTGGGGACATTCCTCAAAGCATAGCCCTCCTTTGTAGAGTGTCTAGATTCTTTCAGGAGACAGAAAGTCCTGGGAAGGTTAGTTGAGGAAGGGAAGAATATACTAAAGGCCCAGTGTGTGTGGAGGAAGTTGAGCATCCACTGGGCTTACCCAATCACAGCTTCCTGGGGGGGGATTTACTGAGTGTGTCTAAAAAGAGAGGACCCACAGCAGACTGGGAAATGAATATCATGAGGTGAATTCTTTACCAGTGTTGGCTGAATGGATAGATAAAGAGTGGATGAATGGCTCTGTGAATGAGAGGCCAACCCTGGCTCCTGAGTGGGCAAGAGTGGGCACCACAGGCAGAGCCTACCTGCACATAGCCCTTCCCTCCCTCCATGAACAGGGAGCTAGAGCTCTGTGTGCTTGACTTGTGTGCCTTGCTCCTGGATCTTCTGAGGAAGGGTCTTGGTCCAGAACTGAAACCTATGTGCCTTCAGGGCCTGGCCCACAGCAGGCTGGATGTCCAGCTGCAGGTACTGTTGGTCCTGGTCGAACAGTGGCCAGTGGGGTAGGCGCTCTCCATTGGGGTTCCTGTGCACATGCCCTCCCAGGAGGGTGGGGCAAGGGTCACTCTGAATCCTGCTAAACTCAGACCTGACCCTTCCTACCCACCCCATTTGGGACAGGCCAGGTTACCAGGCTGGCAAGTGTATTGAGATTGGGTCAAGTTTTCCTGACGTTGGAAAGCAATGACCTCTCACTCGTCTTGTTCCACACAGGACAGGGCAATCTGGTCTGTTTTTCTCTTTCCTGTGAGAGGCTGGCTCTCATGGTAGCCCACCACCATAGCTTACCCTCCCAGCCACCATGTGTAGAGACCAGTGAGTGACCAACACCCACAAAGCACCCTCTTTCAGCGGGTCTTCAGGTTGGAGAGGGTCTAGGATATGATTAAGGACACACATGTGCTAATGAGTCATCTCAGACAAGGGGAGCAGTGGAGGGCCCATGCCCCCAGGCTGAGTGTGCAGGTTTCCTCACCCATTTCGAGCAAAATTGGCCCAGTACTTCATCATCCTCCTGCTCAGCAGCTCCTCCTCCTCAGTGAACTCAACTGTGGAAGGAGGAAGACAAGGGTCCAGGTCTGGCCAACTCTATCCAGCTGTCCACTAAAATGCCACACTCACTACCCCAGCTGTAACCTATCCTTGGGCCCCAGATTTGTGTCCTTTCCCTACCCCAACAGTCCTGGGGCCAGGCCCTCTGCTTGCCCAACCTGCCGTTATCCATCCCAGTCTCTAGCTGAATCCACCTTTGCCTCATCCCTGGCCCAGTAATTCCCTTTTAATTTTGGACACTGGGGTGTCATTTTAGAAATGATTATGCCTTAAGTCCCTTTTCTCCTATGCTAGACACCATGATTGGGGTAGAAACAGATGGAGGATCAAAGACTGGGATGGGAAAAGCTGAGATTCTAATCATAGAGCAGGTTTTTGAGCTATAATATGGTGGATTCCTGATTCCATCCTCTCTGAGCCACAGTTTCTTCATGTTTACCATGAAATCCCTCAGGGCTCCAGCCAGGGCCCTATCTCAGCTCCTGGAGAATTAAGAAGACTCACCTTCACTGCCCTTGAAGGATCCAAAGACAAAGATGATCTCGTCGCTATGGTCAGCCTTCACGTGGAGTGGTCTGATGTCATTGAAGATGTTGGACCGATGCTGGAACTCATAGAAGTAGACAGGGGCATGGGAACCTGGGGGCATGGACAGGCCATGATATGATGGCCCCTCACCTTGAGCTCTTCTGCTTTACCCATCTTATCAAGATGTCTGGGTCCAAAGTTGACTGCAATCTGAACAGCGGAAAGGGGAGACCCAGGCTGGGCAGGGGCGGTTGAAATGTCTCTTGGTGAAATCATAACCCTGGACTTCCTTGCTGTGTTCTCATGGGCATATCACTAAATGCCATTAAATCAGTGTCCTCATTTGTCAAATGAAGGTGATGTCTGTCTCTTACACTAACCATGAGGGTTTTCTGTATGGGAGCTACCAAGTATATTGCCTCCAGAGTCTGATAAAGACATCTGTGGGGACCAGGACACCAGAGACCTCACCTGGGACTCACACTTGTGAGCTGCATCCATATGCAGCCAGAATTCAGTGAAGATATACTCACGCTGATAATGTGCTACTTGGAGTGCAGGATTCACAAACAGGATGTCTGCCATCACCTCCTGGAGCTGGAGTCTGAGGGTTTGTGGGTCCTCATTATCCCCCATATACTCCTCCATTAACAGGTCACCAAATTCAGCAGGCAACATCTAGCACAGGAGAACATTGAGAGTCCTGTTAAGCAGGCTCTGGCCTCTGGGTTGGGGGATGAACAGGAATGGATGAAAAGACTAAGTTTTGGGGTGGGTGACCACATACATTACCATTTTAGGTCAATCTTTTTTGCTAGAGGTTGTTGCATGAGCAGGATATCTGATGTGCCCTCAATTTTTTTTTTGGCAGTACTGGGGATTGAACCCAGGGACACTCTACCATTGAGCTATATCCCCAGCCCTTTATAATTTTGAGACAGGGCCTTGCTAACTTGCAGCAGATGTCCTTGATCTTGTGATCCTCCTGCCTCAGCCTGCTGAGTCACTAGGATTACAGATATGCATCACTGATCTGGTGTCCTCTTGAATTTTTGCAGAACCCCAGGAAACTCACCAAATATGTCGACATTCTCTGAAGAATAGCCTGTGCAGTCCTTCTGTCCATTTCTTTCTGGGTGTCAGCAATGTTTAAGCCCTGGGTGGCAGAAAGTCTTGATTTAGGGATGGATGAACTTGGAGCTACAAATCTATACAATCTCCCCAGGGTTTCCCAGACACCAGGGGTATGGGAATGGACCTCACTGTGGAAAGAAGCCAACCAAACTCATCATTGTTGACACCAATGATGCTGGGGACAGGTTGAAAATCAGCTAAAGCCAGCAGTTCCTCAGGATGCCTGGGCAGGAAGGTCCCGTCTACCACACCAGATATGGTCTTGAAAGCCTGAGGGGACACTCAATGACAGGAAGCAAGGTCAGGGAATAGAAAATTTCTGATGTCCTCGGAGTGGTTTCCACCTTTTACTGACTCTCCCCAAATGCCCACCCTAAAAGGCACTGGTTCCTCATGACCTGTTCCACCAATTCAAACACAGACAATGGCATGGAGATGAGTTAACTGTCCCACAAGATGAAGGGCACTCAGACCTTCTGCCCCTCTTACTCTCCATGCCCTTCCTCCATACCCATGATCATTTAGCCTACCTTGGTAATAGCCAGCATTTCCTGTTCACTCTTGCCCCGCAGGCAGCTCACCAGGGCCTCTGACTCTACTTGCCCACAGGCAGACAGGTTGGCCACCATCTACAAAGAGACCAGGTAGGGGCTGGATCATCCCTCCAGGCTGGAAGGAAAGTGTTGCCTAAGATCCCAGCTGGGTGCAGGTGACCCTAATTCTCAAGGGTGCTGTGTGTGGATTGTCACAGGTGTGAAACTTTTCCCTGAAGCTCAGGTGTCAGCCAGAGGAGCCATTACACCTGCTTAGATGGTTCTTCTTAGGATGAGACCCCCAGGGTGCAGCTTTGCAGAACATAGAGCAAAATCAACCACTGTGAGGTAGAGCCAAGCAGATTCTGACCCTCAAGCCCCTGAGCAATCTTTGGATAAACATCAATTCTGAAGACACTTCAACTGTTTTTGTTGTCCCCACTGAACAGACAGAGTAGAAGTGGCTTGACGGTGAGGGTCGAGACAGTGTGTCTTGGCTTTCGTGGTTGAGGGCACTCACCATGGAAACCACCTCAGATGAGATGTCAATAATTTTGGGTAAGAGAGCCACCCCACTCTCCATGATGGCACCATGGAAAAGTCCTTGGGACATTGGAGACACCACATGTGAGGACACACTAGTGCCACCTGCAGACTGGCCAAAAATGGTGACGCGATCAGGGTTGCCTCCAAAGTGGGCGATATTCTGCTGGACCCAGCGTAGGGCGGCCACTTGGTCCAGGAAGCCCCAGTTGCCAGTGGCATGCTGGTCTCCAGTGCTGAGAAATGGAAAGGATGATGATCAATGGATGGTCTTCTGTCTACTCAGCCCCATTGACCATCCCTGTCCCAAGCTCACCTGAAGAAGCCCAGAACTCCCAGGCGGTACTGGATAGTGACCACCAATACATTTTCAATGGCTGACAGAATAGAACCATCATACATGGAAGCTGAGCCCACTACCAAGGCACCACCATGGATCCAGACCATCACCTGGGAAATCAAGACAGATGCCATGTATCTCTCACCCAACCCAAACCCCTCCTGGACTGCTCTCTAGACTTGGATATTCTCTGTGTAGCTACTACATGGACAGAACCCCAGCAGGTGACATGGTATTTCTCATGAGCAAGGGACTCAGTTTCAAGACCACTTATGCTATTTTTTGGGGGGGATACTGGGGATTGAACTCAGTATTGAATTCGACCACTGAGCCACATCCCCAGCCCCTTTTTATATTTTTTGTTTATTAGAGTCAGGGTCTTATTGAGTTGCTTAGCTAGCACCTCACTTTTGCTGAATCTGGCTTTGAACTCATGATCCTCCTGCCTAAGCCTCCCAAACTGCTGCTGGGATTATAGGCGTACACCACTGCACCCGGCCCATTATGCTTGTGAATCTGCCCATGTATCAGATTCTGGCTCTATTATTCCCAGAACCCCTTTGAGACGAAAATAAAAGGGGTGTCTCCCTGAACGTCCCACATATTAACCACATTAACCAGTTTTATTAGCTCAACATTTTTAATAGCTCAACAGGTAATCAATGTTTGGAAATGCAGATGACCTCAAAATGCAGTCCTTGAGCACCTGATTGTCTCTCCCGGGCATGAATTGGTTGTCGGTGTCCTGGATCCACCCTAGGGCCACAGCCTAAAACCTCTGGGGACAAGCAGGTTTCTATAATCCTGTGCCCAGGGTTCAGTTACCCATCCTGAGTAAGAAGACTTTTTGAACCTTTAGTAAGAGTCTTCTTATCAGGGTCCACACTGCAGTGGGGCTCAGACTATTCTCATCTTTACAAAAATCTTCTTGCAGAACAGCTGTTTTCCCACCTAGCAGCTGACCAAGGTTTGGCACTCACAGGCAGGTTAGAGCCCTCACGGGCATGGGCAGGTGAGTAGATGCTGAGGTACAGGCAGTCCTCTGACATGGGGATGGGAGGGAGGGTCAGATTCAAGAGGTTCACAACCAGTGTATTCCTAGCCACATCCTGCAGACACCTGGTGAGAATAGCAGTTATTCCAGGAGCTGTGCTGTGGGCAAAACCAGACTGTGGGTCCAGAGTGAGTCTGGGTGCTCTCAGTCACCCTCAGTCCCCACTCCCCCTCAACCCTGCTCACACTTGATCCTTCTCCAGAGACTCTTCCCACCAAGTTCCAGGCCACAGGCTCCAGGGAAGCTGGGATGGAGCCCAGACCTCCAGGAGGTCTCAAGGTTGTTGAGCACTTGCGTCCCACTCCCCCTGAGGCTGGGCAATCATGACTCTAGGGGCCTGTCTGGGAAATATTGGCTGCAGGTATTGATCAAATAATCCCTGTCATAGGGTGTCCCCACACAGGTGGTACATGAATGGGTAGAGGTTAGTTTCCCATAGAACATACTAGGACAACTCACAGACCAATTCGAGACTTTGAGGGAACCACATCCCTCCCACAGGGTCATCAGCTATAAGCACATTCACCTGTTTCTTGGACACTGTCTCCTGAACCTGTGGGCTGGGATAGTGACTATAGAAGGTGGGAGTCACCAAGGAGCCACCATTGCTTCCATCCTCAGGAATCTACAGAATGTACTGGTGGGTCTTTTATAGTTTCTTAGAACTAACATGAACCTCTCCCAGACACACGTCAGTCCCCTGGTTGCAGAGAACATCTGGCATAACATAAGCTGGGACAAACATGTCTCTGCAACTTATGCTCTCGGGTGCCAAGGCCTGAGATGGGAGCCTGGGGAAGTTAGCAACTGGTACTCTGTGATCCTCTCTCTTTGGAAACACGCATGTGAGAATCTTCTCAATGCAGAGGGAAGTTCCCTGGACAGTGTAGATGAAGAAGTTACCGAAGCCTGGCCCACAGCTCAGAATACTCACCCCCACCCAGGCCTGAGGTTTCCCAGACCCCAGGAGAACTTACATGGCTGGGTGGGAGGTCCCATCCCTCACACCACTCCAAGGGTCAGGGGGCTCAGGGGCTGCAAAGCGCAGTGGTCCTACAGGTGGCTTGGCAAAGGGAATTCCCAGGAAGGTGTGGACCCCCGCATCGGTGCCCTTCACACGGACAAGGCTGCCCCGCACCTGCCCGGTGTGGGTGATCCGGATGGGGCTGACTGAGTCCTGGCCTGTGGGCAGAGAGATGCACTTCAGACTTTGGTCTGCCCAATCAGCTGCTGGCCCACAGCACTGGGCCTGGTTTGCCCTCCTCAGCTCCGCCCTGTGGAGGAACCCTGATCTGTCAACATTCGCTTCAGAATCTTTCTGCTCATCCCTGTCCCTATCCCCACCACTGCTATCACTCGACCGGGTCACAGCCTATCCCTCCAGGCTCACCAGGCTCCTGTGACTTGCCACCATCCTTCATACCTCACATCTGCCAGCAGAATGTCTTTTGGGCTGATGGGGCAAGAGTGTCCATTGCACTCACTGTGCCAGGTCATGTCACGCACTAGGAGGACTGTGGGAATGGAACTAAAGTTTCCCATCCTCAAGGATCTCATGCTTGAGAAGACAAGAAATGACATAAAGAAGCATCATTCATGTAAGGAGAAACAGACTGTGGGAGGAGAGCTATGAGTTCAAAACTTCTGTCTTTCCTGGGGTTGGGGATCAGGGCAAGAAAGCAATGGAAAATCAACCTAGATATACATGGCTTGTCCAGGTCATGATATTTGTTAAAGGTTGATGTTGGGTATGTTGGTTTTAACTCTTCTCTCTACTCCAGAATGGGCCCACTCTTGGGTGCTGTGCAGCCCTCAGGCTGCCTTAATCCTCTCTGTGCTTCAGGGTGCAGAAAGTTGGTAGTCAGGTCCACAGTTCTCCTGCTATTGTTGACATCTCCACAGCTCCCACATCACTGGAGCCTTCCCTCCCCCAGGTTCAAGTTCTCACTCTAGAATATGGTATAGATCTGAGCTGATTTCCATAAGAAAAAGTTAAAAACTCCAAATCTCCTCTTCTCTCCCACCAGATCCCCTAAGATCTGCATGTTTGATGCTACCTGGTACAGGTCAGGCCAGGGCAACAGCCACTCACAGGACCAGAGAAGGAAATTGGCCAGCATCTCTCCAAGTCCATAAGACACACTCCTGTCCCTACCAACATGCTGTCTCCACACAATGCCTTGCCAGATGGGATCTCAGCCCATGTAACTCACATGGCCACTGGCCACTAGTGCCTGATATTTGTTATAATAAAAGAAAAAGCCTGATAAGTATTGTTGCAGCTGCCTCATTGAGAACAAGTCCTCCATGAAACAGCAGAAGGAATATCTACCCTGCAGTGGTATGAAGTGTCCCCGGGTCAGGATATGAAAAGCTTATGCTTAGGTGAGAGACAAGGACAAGCACTGTGTAAAACCTGGACCCTATTTAAGACCTAGATGGGCCTGTGGAGGAGCCAGGACTGGGTGGGAAGAAGACAGTGGAACCCAACTCCATACCCTCCTATATGTCTTGTTTTTTTTTAATGTGAGTCCAAGAAGAAAGACTGTTTTAAAAGACCTCAGTGAAGCTGTAAAGATCTTCCTGATGAGAAAGTTCTGGTTTTCTAAGATCTCAGGTAAGGGAGGAAGCCTGGCACGATGGTCCAAGGGGGTAAGGTGAGCCTGGAATCCTCTGGGAAGATTAGAGTGGGAAAGTCTTGGAGTTATGACCAGAACCCATACTAGGAGGCTTCGATATGAGAGTGATCCAGGGCTGCAGACACACCCTGGCAACAACTTCTGATAAGGGCCTAGAGATTTCTAGCAGGTACAGAGCATATCTACCTTTGTCCTGGAAGCCAAGCCATGACTGTGCCCCAGCTCAGGCCCATGAGTGAAGGGAACCCAGCAATCTTTCAGATCAGCTTTGAGAAGTGTTACCAGGGACTTCTGTATCCCACCAGACCAATAACCTTGCCTAGGGACCCTTTGGAAGGTGCTAGGCACTTCTGTGTCCAAGGGATCAAAACACTCAGAGCAAAATGTAACCAGCAAGGTCTTCTTATTGCTGTTGTTATTATTCAAGGGTGAGAAGCTATAGCCACAGCCACACATGGGAGAGAAGTGTCTCCTATTCCGGTTCCTCGGCCAGGAGGCTTCTCCCTTGCCCAAACTGTGCTCCTCAGAATCCCCTCACACTAGCTTACTCCTCCATGGGGGTGTCCTCAGGCAGCTCTGACCCTCTTTGGCTTCAAGAGAGCCACTCTGAATTTTGAGGGAGCTCACCTTCCTGCCCCTCATCCCCTTCATGTGTCTTCTCCACCAACTCCCCCCACCCTTGGCGCCTTCCCTCCAGGCTCAGGTTCTGTCTCTGTGCACTTTGGAAGATCCAACCCGGGTCTCTGCCATCCCCCATGGGATCCTCACCCTGACCCTGGAGGAGGAGCAGCAGGAGCCCATAGGTCACGATGGTGAGCTGCACACCAAGTTGGTGAAGCCACATGGTCAGTTCCCAGGACTGTTTCTGCATCCACTGGGCTTCACAGGGCACTGCATGGCAGGAGGACCTCTGTCCAGGTGGAATTTGGACCTGGCAGGGAGGAGGCAGGGAAATGGGTGGTGCCCTGCAAGGTGTGTGCTTCAGGAGAGTCACTCTGAACTCTCAGAGGCCATGGAGCCAGTGGGCTTGTCCCCTTTGACACCTCCCAAGGTGCCACACAGCCTCTGCAGCCCCTCTGAGATGCCAGGACCCCTCTCCTCACACCTGGAGTCACTAATTCCCTGTCCTTGCTGTCACCCTGTCCCATGAGGGTGTTGAGGAGTAGAGGAGGGAGCAGAGAGCTGGATGTAACTGGAGGAACCTGGAGGGCTTCTCTGAGGGAGCAAAATGAAGATTTCCAGAGATGGAGAAATACAGATGACCTTGCTGGAGTGAGGGGAACTGCTTGCACAGTGGCAGGGAGGTGTGACTGTGACCTTTATTGCTGACTGAGTCCCCTTCAACAGTCCCTCATCTCAAGACTGTGTTCTCAGAGCCCCTGAGGGCCCCTCCCTAGTCAGTCTGGCCCTTCTTTTGGAAGGCACTTCTCTGTAGGTACCCCATTACCCAATAGCCAAGGTCAAGTTCACCTTTACTTATTCACTGGAAAGATGTGAAATTAGGGCTGGCTGATCCAGGGAACACCTAGGTCTTAGGTGCCTCTAGGAGATTCTGAATTATCCTGAGCCCTGCATGGGTGAATGGAAGCCAATCTGGGCTTAGAGAGCCCACAGCTTGATTTCCTTTTTTTTTTTTTTTTAGTTTTAGGTGGACACACAATATTTTTATTTTTACATTTACGTGGTGCTGAGAATCGAACCCAGTACCTCAACACAGCTTGATTTCCTAGAGGAAAACTCACAGCCCAGCACCATCTATGTTCCTTCTTAGCATCTTTGGGAACCAATAAGCATTTATTCGAATCTGAATAGCCAGCATACTGATAGCACCACTTCTCCTTGACCTCCACCCAATCAGCAAGGCTGCTGTGGATTCAGTTTCCCTTTCAGGGCGCTCTGCTCCAAGCCATCGCCCTAGCTCCTGCCTGGGCAGATGCTTTCTCTGCCCTGATTTTCTTGATCTAATTCACAGCTGAGTTGTGAGGATCCTCCCACTCAGAGTCATGTTACAAGCTTCTTTATGTCAACCGGATAACATAAGTGCTTCTTCCTGCTGTCTACCACTGCTAGGGTGAAGGTCCTCATAAACTTTGCCACTTATTGCACAATCATTCAGAGGCCCCTGCATTGACGGTAGCTACAATAACAGTAAAAATGTGAAATTAAGAAAAGTCCCAGGTGCATATCTGTGTATGTGATTGTATCTATTCTTTCTTTCTATCTATCTATCTATCTAGATACGAAGAATTTCTTCTGCTAGACTGACCCTCTGTCTTCTAGTTCCATTCTCAAGAAAGACCTCAAGAAAGGTTGGGAGTTAAACCTCCTTGCAGTTGTGCAATGATTGATGTCAATATGGTCCTCAGAGTCTGCAGATCAAAAAATATAGGAGCAAACTTCACAAGTGAGGATCCTAAGGAAACCACCTGACTCCCTTCAACATCCCATTGCCAGCCAGAAGCCAGGAGCCAATGGTCATGCCCTGTCCTTCTTCTCACAAAAATGGGGCCAATCACATCTCTGAGACAAAAATAAATGTCAACAATAGATGACAATATAACAATATAGGGGGACAATAGGTAATGTCAGGGACCTTTATATTTTTAGTATTGGTAACCTTGGTGGCTGAAGTATGGGAACTTATGTGCTATAGTTTGAAAGGTTTTCCCCCCTCTTAGATTTATATGTTAAAATCAAATCCCAAATGTGATGGTATTAGCAGGTGAATGCTTGAGAGGTGACATATGAGGTGGAGTTCTCAAGTATAAGACTGATGCCCTCTATGCTTTGGATCATATTTGTCCCCCCAAAGATTCATATGCTGGAAGGTCCAGAGTGGTGACAGGTAGTGTGTCGGGGGCCATGAATGAATTGTGAATTTGTTTGAGCCATCTCAAGGTAGGGTGTTGCTCTTCTGAGAACTTTTTGTGAAATCCCACTGATACAAGACCACTCCGTTTATGCAGACACCCTGCCCATTGTCTCAGACAGCTCTAGGCTCAAATGTAGCAGCCCAGAAGTAGAGGAGGTGGGCATAACCTGCTAAGCCCCAACCAAGTTGTTTTTGCCATCTTCATCCTGTTTTCCTTGGAAGGTTCTTCATACTGAATCCCACTGGTGTTCCTATCCATATAAATAAAGGGCATGGGTTCCATTTTGTGGTTAGATCCAGTCTCCATCAGAGCTAGAGCATCTCACCGTGCCACCTGCTTTTTATTTATTTCCATGTCTTGTCTTTATTTCTAAAATTTCTCATACCGTTAATATTTCTAATCTGACTCACCACCCTAGTTCAGGCAACTGAGTAAACACCATGCAGGTCATGACAGTGGTGGAATCTTTAAGGGATGGGGCCTATTGTAAGGTAATTAGGTCATTGGGATCATTGCTTTAGGTAGAGATTAATACAGTTCTTGTGAGTCCTACAGGTGCAGATTTTTATACATCAAGGTCACCCCATATACTATCCCCTTCCACATTTAGCCATCTCCCTCCCCACTTCCCCAAAATATTGTGAGGCTGAAGGGAGCCTTTGTGAGTGGCTGAAGAAATGGCAGCACCAAACTGGGACTTTTAAAACTGTGAGCCAAATGAAACTCTTATCTTTATATGTACTCACTTCAGGTATTTTATTATAGCAACAGGAGATAGGTTACTACAACACCATTATAAATTAAGCCTGTGAGAGTTTGTTTGTTTGTTCTGTCACTTGAGGACACAGTGAAAAGGTGACATTCAAGGGCCGTCATCATCAGATACCAAGTTATCTGGCACCTTGATCTTAGACTTCCCAGCCTCCAGAACTGTGAACAATAAGCTTTTGTTGTATATAAGATACCCAAATTATACTTTCATAACATCAGCCCGAATAAATTAAGATACTGGCACATTTGGAGTAAAGGTATTGTATTGGCCTCTTCCATGTAAGAAAACATGGGAGACATGCTGAGAAATGAAACTGGGCTTTTGTTATCTAGGAGAGGGCAACATTCCCCTAGCACCTCTCTTGAAGTGGGGAGGGTACGAGAGTTGGGAGGAGAGGAGAAAGAGGGTTCAGGGAAGGAGAGATAAAGAAGCTGGGAAGGGACACAGGACCAGTGGGGTGTGCAAGAAGGTGGGCATACACTGGCTTACCCATCCACAGCTTCCTGGGGGAATTGACTGAGTGTGTCTAACGAGAGAGGACCCACAGCAGCCTGGGCAATGAACATTGTGAGGTAAGTTATTTGTAGGTGTTGGCTCAATGGATGAATGAATGGCTACATGAAATGAGGGGGTCAACACTGGCTCCTAGGTGGGCGTGTGTGGGTACCACAGGTAGACCTCACCTGCACTCCACCCACCCAGCCCTCCCTGACATGGAGCTACAGCTCTGAGCTTGTCGTCAGCCCCCTTAAGTTCCTGGATCTTCTGGGGCAGAGTCTTGGTCCAGAACTTCAGCCTGTGGGCCTTCAGGGCCCTGAGCCCCCTGATTTTGGTCATGCCAGGCATCCAGGCATCCAGGCAGGCAGGAAGCATGGGCAATGGGGATAGGTTTCCTAATTTAGGAGAGCAATGACTTTCTACTTGTAGACTTTCCACATGGGACAGAGCCTGGCCTGTTTTGTCCTTCCCTGTCAGGGCTTCTGATGGAAGCTCTGCATTAGGGCCCACCCTCCTGGTCATTGGAAAGGGACCAGGTAATGGCACACACAAGATGCCCTCTGTTAGAGTGGGTCTTTGGGTTGAAGCGAGGGGGCTACGTTGTGATTAAGGACATGTGTGTTAATGAAGTCACCTCAAACAAAGGGAACGCTGGATGAGTACAAGTCTCGAAGGAGGCTAAGATGGGTGGTGCATTCTTTCACTCATTTCCAGTAATTTTGGCCCAGTACCTCATCATCCTCCTACTCAGCAGCTCCTCCTCCTCAGTGAGCTCAACACTCAACTATGGGGAAGAAGAAAGCAAGGATCCAGGTCTGGCGAAGCCCATCCAGCTGTCCACTCCTGTGCCACACTCAGCACCCTAGCTGTAGCCTGTCCCTGGACCCCAGGCCTGTGTCCCTTCCCTACCCCAACAGTCCTGGAGCCAGGCCCTCTGCTTGCCCAACCTGCCCTTACTCATCTCAGCTTCTAACTGAATCCACCTTGAGTTTGTCTTTGGCTCAGAAGCCTCCTTATTCCTTCTAAAACTAGGAAGTCATTTAAGAAAGCATTACTATGCCTTTTTTGAAAAAAAAAAAGAAACAATTATGACTCTAACCACCATGGTTAGGGTGGGAACAAATGGAAGGAAAACAGATTGAAGTGGTAAAGGGCTTAGATTCTAACTCTGTTATGAACTTTAGAGTTGTAAGATGGTAGACACCAGATCCCATCCTCTCTCTAAGCCACAATTTCCTCATCTGTACAATGGGATAAATTGCCACTCCTGCCCACTAGAATGCCATCCTGGCTCCTAGGAAATAAAGAAGACACCTCTGCTGCCCTTGATGTAGGATCCAAAGACAACGATAATTTCTTTGCCATGGTTGGCCTTCGTGTGAGGTGGCTTGATATCCTTGAAGAAATTGAACTAATGCTGGAACTCAAAGAAGTAGAGGATGGGAACTGGGGGGTTGACAGGATATGTGTGGGTGGCTCCTCATCTCATGTGGTGGCCCTCTCCTGCCGTACCCCTCTCCTGCCGTACCCTTGGCAATAAGATATGTAGGTCCAAAGTTGGCTTGAATCTGGACAGTGGAATGGGGAGTCCCAGGCTGGAGCAGAGGCAACAGGAAGGACCTTGGTTAAATCAGGTCTTGGACTTCTAGCTGTATGGTCTTGGGAAAGTCACTAAGTGTTAATAACTCAGTTTTATCACCTGTAAAGTAAAGG